GTATATGGATGTAAGCGCTCCTTCAGGTAACCAGGACCCAAGCCGTTTAGGGCTTTATAGGTCATCACCAACACCTTGAATTGGGCCCGGACTTCAATGGGCAGCCAGTGAAGCTGACGGAGGACTGGAGTCATGCGAACATAACGCCCATCTCCGTCAGCAGCCTGGCAGCTCTATTTTGAACCAATTGAAGTATCCGGACCGTCTTCAAGGGAAGCCCCACGTATGACTTGATGGCACATGGCAATAACAAAGGAAGCTTGCCACGGCTTGGTTCTCACGTAATAAGCTGTGGGTTGCCCTAAGCCATGGGATGCCAAGGCCAGGCGAGAGTGCGCATGCATGCTGCTCCCATGCGGCTGCAGCTTCCACTTGTTTTCCCAACAACTCATAGCTTGCTGTTGGGCCACAACACTGGACTGTTTGCCCCACAACAGTTCAGAGTTCAGAATTTCGGAGTTTATGATTGCTCCTGCTTTCCACCTCCAGGCAGCAGAAACACCTAAGCAAAACACAGACCATGGTTTATCTGGATGTGATAACCAGAAAATCCAGAGTTCTTGGTTCACACGTCATGCAAGAGAATTCCAATGGATTGTGACATATGAATATGCCCCTTGCCTTTCACGTAAGAAGCAAGGTGCTTCTTTCTCAGCTCCCTATTCCTTGGTTTCTACAACCTTCAGGGGTCCAGGAGCTGCACCTTTCCCTGTCAAACATACCACTGGAACGCGGGGGGGGGGGGGGTTTCTCCTTTTAATAACAGAAAAATCGTGTTGGTGGGGGAATTGGTCACGGTATTTTTTGCTGAAAAACAGAGGGAAAGAAATACCTTTATTCATTCCCAGTACTTCCCAGTTCCTCCAGTGGAAGCAGGATTCTGCCCACACCCTGGCTGACCATATGCTCCCTCCGTTACTCCAATTCTTGCTGGATTTGCAAACTTGCCAGAAGTTCAGTAGCCAGGCAGAAATTCATCATTCACCAGCAGCAAGAACACCTGGGGCGTTCATTCCCTTGACTGATCCGTTCTAGGCATGTTTACACACAGAGAAATGCACACGCATGCACACACAGCCATTTAAAGAAACTGATGGCATCCATGGTAAGGCGCACCCTGCACGCAGATTTTACAGAATTGCCCCTTGTCCAAAAGTAATGGCACTTTATGCATGCGCAGAGGGTTTGGATGGTCCTAGAGGCTTCACACTGAGCAAAGCAGGGGAGAGACGTGCCTATTGCTTAGCAAGCTTAAGATTTACACCTGCAATTCATGCTACAGTGACAGCTTTCCCTTTTTCCACCCGCGCAGGAGAACTCGGGCGTGCTCTGAAATGCAACCCGAGGCAAGGTGCTGTTGCTTCAGAGGCGAGCCGGTCCTACAGAGGCATTTGAGCGGCTCCCGCCGGGCAGGCAAAGGCAAAGCCGCTCGCCTCCGCTCCGACAGGATCCCTCTCCTTGGGTACCGGGCGGGGAGCGCCGACGCCTGGGTTCAGGAGACCCGGGCACACGCCTCCCGCGCCGACTGAGGGCCGCTGCCGAGCTGCCCCTGCCCGTGGCCCGCGAACCGCCGCGCAGCGCGCCCGCTCGGCCGGAGCAGCCGGGGCGCCCCCGCAGAGGCCTCTCGCGCCCCCCGCCCCGGCCGGGCTTCCCTGCGGCGCCGGCGCGGGCCAGGCTCGAGCCGCGGCGGCCGCTTCCCACGGAGCGCCCGGG